AAGTAATCCAACTATGTTTTCTCCCGTAGTAAAGACAAGGGACGGGTGGCCGTTGATTTGGGCTTCAGGAGGTAGCATACCAGCTTTTACACATTTGAGGGATACTAAGCATGAATGGGGTATTCACCACTACCCAGTTTTCCAGAAGGTTGTTAATTTAGGATATCCCCTGCATAATTTCAAGGTGTACGTTTCCGATAAGGATTACTTCTTATCTAAATTTACTCCAATAAAACTTTACGATTGGAAAAACAAGTCGGTGCTTTATGAAAATAATAAGGGTACCGATGAACTTCCCAGCGGTATCGAAACCGATATACGTAAAGTAAGAATGGACTTCATAAACGAGCCATATTTTACTCAAATATGTTCCGCGTATATTGCAACCTTTCTGTGTGGTATCTCTGTTAAGAATCTGGAGTGGAATGATTATACCCCCAAGCAGATTACTTCAATAGCTAGATATCATCTTTACTATACAATGAGAAAGTTTATTAAAGACCCTGAGCTGATGAAATCGTACGACATAAGTGGAATGAAAGGTCATCTTCCAATCAGCATTCAGGCTTTCAATGGAGCCAGTCATGGAGGGGGAACATATGTTAAAACTGGATGGGTAAACTACTCGAATTCCGACCATCTCCACTTCATACCGTACGAGTCGAATGGTATCACACAGATTGGATTACAGCTGCTTATGGAAAGTGTGGAAAGTTATGTTTATTCTGTGTTGGGAGCTCAAGCTAAAACAAGGTGGAGTATCGCCAGCAGTCAAATAGGTAAGTCCCTTCAAACGCAACAGGCTTTTAGAAGAATCGTTAATGACACCACAGTGCAGACTAGTGTAGACACCACCATCAGCAATATGAGAATAGCTATAAGGGACACTAATGTAATACTGAATATGGCAATCAATCCTAACATAATACTGATTCCCTCCAGGCTAATCATTCTTGAAACACCCATTCCTGGATACAATAATATACTATCAAGTCCTACAAAGACAACCACCTTTGCGATTAATACTAATCTAAACTATGTTGGGGTAAAGAAAACCGGTCATCCAAAGAAACAGCATCAGCACACAACACCATTTCATCACCTTGATGTTATTGATGGACATAAAAAGGTTCCAGGAGGCTCTACGGTCACTAAGCCAAAGGAAGGCTCTACAAGTGCTGAAACTCAAGATGTTCCCATCGTAAAGCATGATACAACTAGTGCTCATGGGTCTTCAGGAGTTAGCGTTGCTGCTGGAGTTGGTATTGGTGCTATAATTGTATTTATTTTAATGAAAGTTGTCCTGTAAACATTATGTATTCTATAAAATGGCTCTCTATAAAGGATACAACAAAGGAGTAATAAAGTTGATCCATCAAGCGGTAGTGTGTTTGATAAGGACGGATTTACTATGAAGGGCGACATTGAGATGGACGGTAATGAGGTAAAAGGTCTAGGTGCTCCTACAGATGATACGTCTGCGGTCACAAGGAAGTGGGTGGATGATGAGATAGTTAAACAGGCTGCTATTACAATTCAACCTGCAGGGTTTACAATGACTGGGGATATTGACATGGGAGGTAATAAAATAACTAATCTTGATAATCCTACTAACCCAGGTGACGCTGCCAGTAAGAGCTGGGTTGAGGGTAGCCGTAGACATGTACATGCAAGTCTACCTGGACTTATCCTTACAAATGACCTCAATATGTCAACAAATGAGATAAAGGCTCTAGGTGATCCTACAACTGGAAAGTCTGCTGTTAGTAAGGATTGGGTAGTTGGAATGCTAAATAACCCTGTATCTGGACTTGATATTGCTGGAGATATCAATATGAAGGACCACGAGATTAAGAATCTTAAGGATCCCTCCGAGGACCAGTCAGCTGTCACAAAGAAGTGGGTGGTCGATAATAACTTTAAAATGAAAGGTGGAATTATGCAGGCAGATGTTTCCATGGGAGGTTGGAGACTGTTTGATCTTATTGAGCCTAAAATTGATAGTGAGGCTACATCAAAAAAGTGGGTTGAAGATAAAATATCTACGCTTCCTAACCACTCAGGTTTTACAATGACAGGTGATCTTAAGATGGGTGGACATGAAATTAAAAATGTTGGTGATCCTACTACTAACCAATCAGCTGTTACAAAAAGTTGGTTTAGTTCAAATAGGGGAGTATTTTTAAGGTTAGGTGACTCCTTCCTAACGCAAAGTGTAACGGGACCTATTAGTTTCTCCATTGCCCCCAAAAGTTACTCAGACGGTCTAGATTCATCCAGTCTTGTAAGATTTAGCCAGCTAGTTACTTATCTTAATCTAAATGGTTTAAGTGAAATGACTGGTAATCTTAAGATGGGTGGAAATGAAATAGTAAATATTAAGGATCCCACTAGTGATCAGTCCGCCGTTACAAAAGGATGGTTCAAATCAAGTAACATTTTCCTAAAACTTGATAAGTCAACCCCTAGTACTGTAAAAGGTCCTGTTACATTAGAGATCCCTCCTAACTGTAACTCTGATCCTACAAATTCAAATAGTCTAGTAAGATTGCAGTATCTTGAAAGGTACTCAAACAACTTATTAAAACTTAGCGGTTCCCGAGCAATGGTGGGTGACCTTGAAATGGGTGGAAATGAAATAAAAAATGTCGGTTCTCCTAGTGCCGATGAATCTGCAGTTAATAAAAAGTGGGTGGAAGATAAGATTAGCGGTGGTAGAAGAAAGCGTGAGACCTACAGCGGACTTACATTATCTGATGACCTTGATATGGGAAACAATGAAATTATAAAGTTAGGTGCTCCTACAACTGATAATTCTGCCGTGTCTAAGAAATGGGTCGCGGATCATGTCAGTGGGAGTTCTGTAAGTAGTAGCGGCTTTACTATGAGTGGTAATATTGACATGGCTGGTAATACTATTACAGGACTGAATAGCGGCTCGTCTGGTGATTCTAGTGCTGTTTCTTATGGTTCTATGACTTCATGGTGCTCACAGTTTCTTAAGCGTGATGGTGGCACTTTAGCTAGTAACTTAGATGTTAACGGTTACGAGTTGACCAGAGTTGGAAATCCTACTACCTTCGGTTCAGCTGTTAATAGGAGATGGGCAATAGATGAGTTCATGAGTAGTAGAGGTGGACTGGTAAAAGGTGATTTGGATATGGGAGATTCAAGTGGAATTCTTGATCTAAAGGATCCTGTAAATGATAAGGATGCTGTTAACAAACAGTGGGTAGAAAAGAATTTCCTAAAACCTTCAACTGGCCTTACTCAAGCAACGGCTGACTTAAGATATGTAAGAATACGGCGACATATACATGCAGAATGGATTTGGGGTTATCGTGGTGTTTCAGTTGCAGCAACAAGGTACTACGCTTACTGTCACGATCAGATTCCACCTTCATGGAGAACAGATCCTATTAATAATATGGCAGACCTGAACCTTGAATCAATAACTATAAAAACAGACTACCCACGTTTTTCAACTGTTCTAAATATACCCCTAGCTTTGATCCTGTGGGCTACTGTATGGGAAAAACAATCTAACGGAAAATTTACACAGGTTAAAAAGGAAATCACTCTTGCCACGGTTGACTTAAGAAGACTGTCACACACCTGGTTTAATGGAACTTACACAACTACCGGTGGAAGTACAGCTTGCTACGTTTTCAAGGGTAATAGTATGTTCTATTTAGGAGCCCAGGCTGAGTTGGTAGATAACACGCTAGCCTGGTGTATTATAGTTAAACCTGAACACTCAATGCCCACTAGTACTAGCATGAATATGTCCTTTTGCTGGTCACTCCGATATTCGGGGTCAGGTAGTTAACATGTGTTTTATCATAAGATAAGATGTCAAGGTGGAGGTCATGCTTCTCCTGCTTAGGTAAGATTTGTGGTTGTCGTAAGAGTTCTAGTAGAACTGGGAAGGCTGGTGATATAAATTTCTCTGTATCAAATAATATTAACATTGGAGTGAGCACACAAGATAAAAAAGATACTTCAAACTCTGTATTCGAACCTAAAAGTTACGGCCCCTTAAGTATCCTTAGGAGTGAAATAGAAGATGTTAAATAGGATTTTGAATTTAGAAGTTGGAAAAGATCGGTGAAGATCTGAGAGTCCCAGCGACTGGATGGTAGAAATAGTAAATCTTCTTGAATAGACCATGGTTAGTAGAAAGTGGTCTAGAAAATAAATCAAGATTTTTGATGAAGACCAAGATGATTGGCTTGCATTAGAAAAAGTGATGTATGAGCCAATGTCAAAAAGTGGTCTAGAACCCTCAATCCCTATACTACTATTATTGACGAGGAATTCCCCGCAGAACACTCTTTACATAAGATATTCAACCGTGATACAGTGAAGATAAGCTACAGTTGTATGTCAAACATCAAACAGTCTATTGAGTGGGCACAACAAATCTAAGTTGTCCCAACCTTCTGACACCGATAGCGAAGACAAATATACAAAAGTAATATACAAATGAAAATAGTGTATGCCCCACATATATATAGTGTTCATGAGCGACAGTTTACAGTAACCACGCTGGCCAAATTCAGCCAATATTCTCCCAGTACCGCATGCTCGCATTTTCAGCGGACTTCGATGAAAAATTGAAACTTTTGCATTTTGCACAGAGCTGGCCACTTTCTGTCAGATGTCCGCTGACAATATGTGTCCGCACGAGTGTGAGAAATGTTGCTAAATTTGACCAACGCGAACATTTTCACAACCATGTTTTGCAGTAGTTGATCTGTTGAGCTAGTATATTTTAATATTTATGTAAAAACGGTTGAGGTTTCATGTTTGCCGTCAAATGAGTAGTTAATTACTATTAATAAGAATACAGCATACGTTTGTTAATGTATATAGCTACATGCATATATAAGTATCCCCTAGTGCATTAAAGATTAAAGATTACCATGCTGCAGATTGTCCATTTCAGATCATGTGATTTGTCCTTATGCATCTTTTCCACTCGTTTTAATCCTCAAGATATGAAGAACGCATGTAGAATGTCAATAGATGAAGTTTATACTGCAAGTGAAGATACAGAAAAGAGTGGGGTAAGTGATCCATCAAAAGTAATGAAGCATGCAATATACAACAACAGTTCGAAATCATGCATGGCGGTTTTTTAAAACTCTATTTATTAAATAATGTAAAATTAATTTTACTGTAATTTATAACAACTGTTGCGGTCGCATGGCTGTCAAATGATTCATGCAGGATAACTGTAATTAACTATTGTGGAAAAACTAAATAATTTTTTAACAAAAATTTACGCCATTTTCCCTGTTATATTCCACATTCCCCCCTCTCCCCCCAGCTTGATACTTTTCTGAAACACTACTTAATAATGTTAATTATTATACTATTAAACCAGGTTACCCATGGGCAGTTAATGCTGTCTTTGGAGTATTTTGCAATATGTCACTGAACAAGAGAAAAAATATTCTGTGGAAAATGAAAACACAAACGAGTCATGACAATTGATTGGATTTTCCCGATTGAGCTGTAAGATGGAGCTCAACGAAAATACGTGATTTATTTAGCTAAATATCCCGTGATGACATAGTATATATAGCCAGTGTATATGTATTTACTATTTAATATATGCGCACGGCTGGCGCGTTTTACGATTATTATTCAACGCAGATTTATGGTTCCTCTTTATTTTAGTTTGCCATAATATTAATGTAAGCAATTTCATAATTTATTATAGGAGGAGCAGGCCAGCAGCCAAAAATAACTGAAATAGTCAAGCGAGAAGCCATAGCGACCGCAATGGTAACCGTAATGCATGTACATGCTAAGTAACAACAATGACCACAATGCAACGCCCTTGGCAAAGTCCAAATTTTATCCCCTTATACACAGATTAGGAAGCTTGTCTCAGGCTCACTCGCTGCGGCAACAATTAATAATTCATGTCTATTACTGTAGGATGAAAATTCTGTCAACAGTAATTGGTTGATGCCAAATAACAACGGTCAAGGTGAGCCCAATTTGAACAAAAATTATTGATGTATGGCTATCGCTATTACGTGCAAACATAGTGTGACACGAGTGATATTCAAGCCGTAAAATCACGCAAGACACCAGAAAGACTGAGCAGGGCCGCCCAGAGGTTGGCGGGGGCCCGGGGCAAATTTTTTTTAGGGGGCCCTATCTAAAAAATTTTTTCCGGAAATTATTTTGGCGACCTCCCCCCCCCCCCAACATGGTATTTCATAATTATCGAATAATAGTTGAAAACAGAACAACTCTGGTTTAACCATAATTTTCAGGGGAGGGAATAAACCGTGACGGTTTTTTATATAATAACAGTTGTTAAAAATTACCCGGAGGGCCTTTTTTATGGCCCGATGGCCTGATTCTCTGGATACTTTTCCCTATCATCAGACTCAAGGACCCCTTCCACCCAACTATAGCAGCTCTCCAATTCTACAGCTTAGTTTCTTCAAAATCCCCCAAAAAACATAAAGGACAATAGAAGTAGAGTGTGAAAAGTGTATTTGAATTCATCATATTACAAAGTTTTATTAGATTATCTTAGAGCACAATATATAACACCTTATTTTTCCACCATATGTGAGATTTGTTACACAATTTATTTGCTAATTCCATAATGTCCAAAAGCTAATGTATTAACACCGTCTTCTGAAATGAAACGTTTATCATCATATGGACTTAAAGCAATCTTAGTTACTTAATGGAGTAGATCTCATGACTATAACTACGAATCTGATTCATTGACCCTCTTGTCTGCTTCTTGTCGAATAAGCAGCTTTTATAATTATCATGTCTTATATGCTTCTTTGTTACCGACTTCTTTACCCCTTTAGCTGTCTTCTTATCTACGGGCTTGTTCAGTGTACTGGGGTAGAGTACATCTTTGGCTTCAAACCAATGAACTCCTGAATTGGAATGCCATGTGTTTCGTTATTCATTTTCTTTCTTGTTTCTGATACTGTGAAGACGATGGTTGTGTGCGTATTCGGATGTGTCAAATAGCTCTGCGTCTTCCAAAAATGCCAAAATGTTACAATTTTTCAAACGCGACAAACACGCTCCTCTACCACTCCTCCATAGCAGCTAAACAGGCGATAATTAGAATAACCCCTAAAATCAGGGGTTCACGTGACCAGCCGCAACCAGGGTCTTCGCCGCAGCGAACATGTGGAGGTAAAGACCCTGGGAACGAGGTTGGGCTTGGTCTAGGCCTAGCCTTGTAGCAATGTAAACACTTTCGGCCCTGGCCTGGGCCATATTTCCATGGCAACGTGTATCCGCAGTGAGAGCATAGTGGCCAACCAGCGGCCAACACATATGATACGAAAACCGCTGAAATTCTAGGCCAAAATGAGCCGGTCTCGAAATGAACGAATGAAAAAACGCGCCACATTTTAATACCTTGGTCTGACGAAAGCCAGGCCAAAGCTAGGCCAAGGCTTGTAGTGTAAACTCAGCTTTAAATATCAACAATGACAATTATATTTAAATGAGTAGGCTAATTCTACAGGGTGTATCATAAAAAACGGAGTCCTCGCTTCAAATATAAATTTCAAAACGAATATGAGAGCAAAACGTTCAGGTTTACATTCATTTTAAAGCATAGCCATTTAGCTTTCCAACGAAGGGTCGTTTCTTAAATTTAATCCAGTAGTTCGCGAATAATATTATTTTAAGTGATTGCGATTGGAGAGTCAAAAACTTGAGATGCAATAACAAATCGGTACTTGATGAAAATAACTTATTTTGTCAACAAAACGAGCAAATCGAGCCATTTTGGCAATTGCTTGTAAAAATCAAGTAATAATGGCTTCCAGTACACTGTTTTAAATTCATATATTCACTTGCTGACTTCAAATGCGTTATAATCCCGGCTGAAGCGTGTTTTAGCTTGCCGTCAACTTGCTAATTTATGTTTACATTACGGCCCGATTCGATGGAGCTCGTTCGGACGATGGATAGACGTAAGGTTATTTTGATAATTTCTGGAAATAATTTAGGATTTTAAAAGAAATAAAACAACCTAATCTCTTTTAGAATGTTTTTAACAAGTTTTTACTAGTTTTTCTGATGTGGCAACATGCAAGAACATTAAAATTTGAACAAGAAAATTCAAACATTGCAACCAACTATGGAATATCATAGTAAATTTGTATTATTAAGCGGCATCTAAAAATGATAGGTTTTACTAAAATTTATCCTGTGCAGTTATTACTTGCACTAAAGACACGGCCACACGGGTGACCATTTGTTCGAAAGATAGATGAGCAAGCTTTAAAATAAGCCTAAAACCGTTTTATTCGAAGTAGAAGTCCGAAAGTTATTAAGCACAAAAGATGGACTCGGGTTTTTTTTATACACCCTGTATTCCTGCAAATCTTTACTAAAGCCTAAACATCAAAACTTTTCCTTTTATTTCAAGGACATTTGGCGAGTGCCACTCGTTTTGAAAGTATAACTCCATTTAAAATAAAAATATATATTTTGCATAAATTCGTTACAGCACTGCATGAATACATCAACACACTGAAACGTAATAAAAATACGGTTAGTGTTATCGTTGGATCCATCATTCGATCTGGACTTCAAGAATCCCTGAGATATATGGCGATTTGGTATAACGCATTATAAACGCTTTCGGATTTTATAATCTCGCTCAGTCTGGCCATAGCTTATCGAAGGGAAGATGGCTATGAAACTCATTAGAATAATAATATAACTCATTATCTATGTTAGTCAACGTTTATCATAAATATGGTCCTTCACCGTCACGTGTGTATTGTATTTTTGCCAAATCCACCAAATAGCAATTTCCAATTTCCATATTGTTCGAGTCACGGATAGGTATACTTTCCTATAACATTGCTATTGGTTAGTTGGGCAAAAATACAGTACACACGTGACGGTGAAGGACCAGATTTATGAATAAACGTTGACTAACATAGATAATGAGTTATATTGTTATTCTAATGAGTTTCATAGCCATCTCCCCTTCGATAAGCTATGGTCTGGCTGTACGTTTTGGTACGGGAAGTACACTTTGCTCTGTACACGCCAGTGAACTCTAATAAGACTGGAACGATAACTCGGCCGCCATCTTTGAAGCCAAATTGAAGGCCGCCATGAATGCCAAAGGCCGAAATTACATCATCAAAAGAACGCCAATATTTTGACACAAAACAGCTTTATTTGAACAAGAATAAAGGCTTAAAACAAACAACAATGCTTGAACTTTACTCCTGATTTAAACCTTATTTTTTTGCGAGTTGAAGAGCGAAGTTCTCTTCGGCACGTTCAAATTTGTTAAATATTTCAAATATAAAGCTGATACCTCAAAAGTTTTTGCAGTTAGTTGATGCAGAATACTTAGAACTATCCAGATAACCAAGTTTAAATCTTTGAAATTGAAATCTTCGGACAAAAAACCTATTTTTTCGACGTATTTTTGCGAAAAGAAAAGTTACGAAGAAAGTTTGACTGAATTTCCCGCTCCTCGAAACTCTCCTTAGTCCTTTTAAAAGTGCAATTTCCTCGCGCGGTTGGCTTCAACTTAGCTTTCTTATTGGCTTCCTTGGCTTCAGGCAAGTGTGGGCCTGTTTACCTGCAGTTAGCGTTCCAGTGTTATTACAGTTCACTGGTACACGCAAATCTAAAATTTGTTAACATAGGTAGCACGCTCTTTCTTGCTTCATCCGTCTATCTCGGCATTCAGTTTCTCCATATGAGCAACCATGGTAACCTACAGTGAAGATAATACAATTGCCTGCTCGCAGGATATTAATTGACGCCCCTGGTTATAAGTTTAACCCAAATATATCCCTTCACTTTTGAATACCCTCTGCAGTATCTTCGTTGTCGTAGAAACCAGAAACAGCGGCATGCGTATATTTTCTCAGTTTTTCTCGTTCGACGACTATAATACTTTCCTAGCATTTATAATTACTGTTCATCATAATGTAGATGCTCCTCGAAAGCGAAAGAGAAATGCGGAATATTTTAATAGTTCATCGGGAGGTGCAGACATCGAGTCAATTAAACGGGAAGGTAAGAAATAAGAATTCTCGACTGATTTAGTTCAGTTAAGTTCAGTTTAGTTTCTACCTGATTAATCTGCGTCGCATCCCACCGCAATTTGAATCGTTTAGCAAACCAAGTTCATCTAGCAATGTTGAAATAACAGTCATTTTATCTTCTTATTCCTATTATTACAATAATTATAATATATAATTAGCCTTTCTCACGCCGCCATTTTTGGGGTACTTTTTTCCCAAACCGCGAGCGTAAGACCACGTAACGGCGGCTTTTTAATACATTTTTGGGCGTATAACGGTAAATTTACTCTGTAAATGGTTAAATTGCTCTGAAAAATTGCTTTTCACATTGTTTTAATTGTTTGCAAGAAAATACAATACCCCAAAAATGGCGGATATTTGCCCCGCGAGAAAGGCTAATTACATATTCATCCCCTTCCCCAAAAGTGGGGAGACTCGCCCCCTCCCATCCCCCCAGGATTGACGCCCTTAATCAAGGTCATTTTGGTCTTCGTGTCCTTTTGTCAAAATACAAGATCTTTATGTCCAAGCTTTGTGATAAATTCATTGCCCAGAACGCAGGAAATACAATTTTTCGGGGTTCAAATTTCCATTTTTTTCTGAGGAAATTGCGCGTGGAACGGCTATAGTTATATGTTTAACGAAATGCTCATTCAAATATTCCGCAGTATCTCAGTTGTCATAAAACCAGAAACAGCGGCATGCGTATAGTTTCTCATTTTGAGCAGGCATCTCCTCGATGACTATTAGTATTTTTTCTAACATTTATTCATCACTGTAGATCCTCCTAGAGAGCGAAAGAGAAATATATATATTGATAGCTCATCAGAAAGTGCAGACACCGAATCAAGTAAAGAAGGTAAGAAATAAGAATTCTCGCCTGATTCAGACAGCGCGCACTGATTTTGTTAGCCTTAGCCTGCGTATAGGCTGTAAGGGCAATGTCTCAGTCTTTGAGCAACCGTGTAGCAGGGGGAGCTAAGGAAACGAGGCATTCACTCACTTTTCCTAGTAATATTATGGAAGTAATTAATATATATTGCTAAATAGTCCTACCATGGACACTATCGGACTAAATAGACCTTTCCCAAGATAGCTTTACAACCTCGTTCCAGGCTTTTTTGCGCAGTCTTGGCAAGTACATTCGCCGAATTATGTTGAAATAATGGTCAACAAAGCCCTAAAAGTATCAAGAGTGACGTATTGTCGAAGGTTCTTTTAAATATATGTTGTCAACCTTATCATACATGTCGTTCTGCGATATAATTTATTGTATTATGTATTTTGTAGAATGTTTTATTGCCCAAAATGTGTACTCGGCCAGGCATTGTTCTGCTCAGACATATCAAAGAAAATTGAGATATTTCTGTAGAAAATAAATTTAAAATTACAACAATGCATTAAAAGAAAGCTTATAGAAAGAGAAAGGTTAACAGTATAGGGACTAAACGTTTTCCAAAAAAAGTGGGGGGGGGGGGATAATTACATATTTATCCCCCTTCCCCAAAAGTGGGGAATTCGTCCCCCTCCCATCCCCCTAGGATTGACGTCCTTGATCAAGGTCATTTTTTCCTTCGTGTTCTTTTCTCCTTTTGTGAAAATACAAGATCTTTATGTCCAAGGTTTGTGATAAATCCATAGCCCAAAACGCAGGAAATACAATTTTTCGGGGTGCAAATTTCCAATTTTCTCTGAGGAAATTGCGCGTGGAATGGTTATAGTTATATGTTTAACCAAATGCCCATTCAAATATTCCTCATTATCTCTGTTGTCATAAAACCAGAAACAGCGGCATGCGTATATAGTTTTTCATTTTAAGCAGGCATCTCCTCGACGACTATTAGTATTTTCCTAACATTTATTCATCACTGTAGACACTCCTCGAAAGCGAAACAGAAATGAATATATCAATAGTTCAGCAGAAGGTGACATAGAGTCAAGTAAGGAAGGTTAGAAATAATAATTATTTTTCTGAAGAGAATGCCCTTGGCATGCTCCGGCCGTACTTATATTTAACAATTATTCGCCGAAAGCAATATCGGTGAATAAAAACCGAGACGAACTTGAGGTTTCTCTTCACCGTTATTCACCTAGCCTTAGCCGAATAATTGTTTTAGTTTAAATTCGTATAAGTGATTACTGGGGGAAAATACAAAATACATATTTCTTTGTCCCTTAATTTAAAAAAAAACGCATTGGGTGATTATCACGTTTAATATAATCGCGCAACAAATCAACGTGGCTCACGTATGTAATTTCACTACATATGCTTAACCTAAGTTCTCCCTCACTATTAAATACCAGACACACGGCCATCTCCGCGACGACTATAATATTTTCCTAACATTTATTCATCACTGTAGATACTCCTCGAAAGCGAAAGAGAAATGAATATATCAATAGTTCAGCAGAAGGTGACATCGAGTCAAGTAAGGAAGGTAAAAAATAATAATTATTTTTCTGAAGAGAATGCCCTTGGCATGCTCCGGCCGTACTTATATTTAACAATTATTCGCCGAAAGCAATATCGGTGAATAAAAACCGAGACAAACTTGAGGTTTCTCTTGACCGTTATTCACCTAGCCTGAGACGAATAATTGTTTTAGTTTAAATTTGTATAAGTGATTACTGGGGGAAAATACAAAATACATATTTCTTTGTCCCTTAATTTAAAAAAAAACGCATTGGGTGATTATCACGTTTAATATAATCTGAGATGATTGCGTTATTATCGCGCAACAAATCATCGTGGCTCACGTATGTAATTTCACTACATATGCTTAACCTAAGTTCTCCCTCACTATTAAATACCAGACACACGGTTATCTCCTCGACGACTATAATATTTTCCTAACATTTGTAATTACTGTTCATCATACTGTAGATACTCCTCGAAAGCGAAAATGTCGTAAAACGTCATCAAGAAATAGTGACATCAAGTCAAGTAAGGAAGGTGGGAAACAAATGTCAAT